AAACACTAACGTCTACAATTATTAAAAATAAGTTTTGTAAAACCAAGCCTTTGTCTTCATGTGTCTTGCCTTGCCAGGTCTCAGAGTAATCGCTCAGAAATTTCCAAGTGGTATGACAACAGGCTCCATCCCCGCCTCATGCCTGTCCTCTCCTACATCATCAAAAGGGAAAAAATGCAACGCGTCACAGCATCCGGCACGGGCAGCAGAGAAGAGGTGGCGGTTCACATCAGACGAGCTGGCCAAGATCCAGGAGCAGCTGGAGGAAATACTCATCCCCAGTAACTCTAACAGTAAGAAGACACTGTTAAAGATTTAAAATCCAACTGGAAATCCAATTTGTAGAACACAGCAGTTGGCAGCCACTTGCTGCATTTCCAGAATTTTCTCCTTTTAAACTATTAAAACAACGTCTTTGTTCCTGTATTACGGTATTTAAAACCTTATGTCCCATATGCAGTATTTTCTATTTCATAGACTACTGAGGTTGAAGCTAAATACTTATTTGATTGTTCCAGTTGTTGTTGTTGTTATTAATATCATTATTATTGTTATTATTAACAATAAAAATAATAGTATTACCATATTGCTTCCATAAAGTGATGCTATGGCCCATGTTTACTGCAGGTCGAATGTCCAGCCGAATGTCAACCAGCAGTGCCCGATCTACTGCATCAAGTCGTTACGGTTCGTCTACAAGTGGTAGAGGCACTGCGCGAGTTCAGAGCAGTAGATCCTGGAAATAACCCCACTCCTTTCTTAACCACAGATGTTAACAAATATACCTCTAAATAAGATTCCATGTCTTTCAGTTAAATCTAGCATTCAGCTGGATCCAGTATCATTTGTGGAAGAAACTAAATAACTAAATAAAAATTCAGCTTTCCTCCAGAATGTTCTCTGAATGCTAACATTTCCCTTAAATATATTTCTGTACGTTGGAAATATCATGCTAATCACTTTACAACCAGCACACTAGTAAGATGTTCACATCTAGATAGTTGTGTGACTCTGCATATGAAAAATATGTTAGGAACAACACAGATGTTTTATTTGAGACTCTGAATGGTTTCCAATTGATTTCTTAACAGTGCTTCAAAGTGAACCTGAGATCAAAGGACTTTTCTCACACTTATAACACTATTCATCAGTTTTCACCAGCTAATAAATCTGCACAAATAAATCTGTGCATGGTCTGGTCATATTTTGGTATTTCTGCTGGAGCCAGGAAAAAAAATGAATGTTAATATGACATGAAGCATATGCTGGAAATCTCTTTATGAAATGAAGTGTAATGTATTGCACAAGTGATGTTATAGAGTTTAATCCAGTTTGTTAGGTTTTGAAAAGTTGTGCTGTATTTTTGTAACTTTTGTCTTTCTATTATGACAGTTCACCAACAGTCTTTAACTGCAGTTTCAGCATTTTAGTGTATTTTTTTTTAATCTAAAGTACTGTGAAATGTTCACATTGTGTGATTAATTGAAACCTTCACACTGACATGCATGACACAGATCAGTCACTAAAGAAAATATATGAACGTGTTTGACGTGGCCAGAGCATATTTATTACAAGCATTGCCTACATCTTAAGAGCAATATTGCGATTTGTGGCCTGTTGTTTGCATGTTAGTGACTTTACATGTGCTTTCCCTGTCAAGTGCATTTTTTCTAACCATCTTTTCACCATCTGTCTTAAATTGTTTACATGATTTTATTTGTAATGAATATCAAATAAAGGGTAAAATGGTTTTCCTGTATCTTTTTTGTTTGTTTTATTTGACCCACCACCTACTTTCACATAGGTACTTCTGTGGTTTCATCTGAAATGCATAAAATTACCTTTTGTATTTAAAATGTCACATACATTATATGTACTACTGCAGTGGTGAATGTTTATATTAAATATGGCCAAATGGCAATGACAACAAGGTTCAAGCGAGTCTTATTCCACACAGACAATAATGCATTCTTCACTTCAGCTTAATGCAATGTGTTCTTCTTGTGAATCTTCATGATGCCGGTGATTTCAGTGTTTGATATGACCATTTCAGGCACATGTCTGAATATGAGCATAGTTTCTATTTGCAGCTGGTAGCCAATAACAAACAAAAGAAGTGATCCCACAGGTCCTACCTTGTAGGAATCCCTTGGGTAGAGCCTCAAGGGCAAGCATTAGGTGCTTGGGCCTTGGCCCATGGGGACTGGCCGAGCTCAGCCTGAAGAAACTACTTGGGTCAGTCCTGCTGTGAGTCAACTACCCCAGAAGAGTGGATATAGGGGGTCAGTGATTTGTGAATGGGGCGGCAGTCAGAGGTGGAAGTCCTGGGCCTCTGATCCCCGGTTTCCAAAATTGGCATGTGGCACATGGAATATCACCTCATACAACTAGCCTAGGGGACGTATTCTATTTTAACCTCGGGATTTCCAGGCCATACTCCTCACCGATGTTTCTGTATACTATGCTAACCACTTGGCTAAGGTGCCTCATGTATGTCCTGCCTGCTAGCATCTTGCACCCTGCTGTTATGTGCTGAACTGTCTCTGGGCCATTGTTGCACACCTTGCACCCGAGGTCTTGGCCGATGTGGTAGAGCACAGACTCTGTTCATCTTGTGCTATAGAGTTTGTTCCTGTGCTGCCATAATTAGTGCCTCTGTGTTGTCTTTCAGCCCAGCTTTGTCCAGCCACTGGTAGGAATTCTGGATTTCAACCACTCCTCCTATCTGACAGTGGTGCATACCGTGCAGGGTATGTACTCCTATCTGATGGTATTTTTGTGCCAAAAACTCTGACCAAGTAAAGATGATTATTTCTGTCTGAAATTGCAAAATGTGAACATGACCTTGCAAATATTAATTGCGATCATATTACATCAATAGATAATTTGGATCTGTGTTGTTATTCCACGATGACGTTTTGAGTGAAATAACAACTAAATATATACAAACAAAAAACATCAAATGCAAGCAAAGGGAGACAGCTTTACCATGGTTGAATAGTGAAGTACACAAACTTAAACAGAAATAAGATTTTGCTTTAAAAACAGCATTGACTACCGAAATCAACACTGATCACATGATACATAAAAGCCTGAGAAATAAAGTAGTCCTGAAATTATGTAAAGCTAAAGCTTTATATTGCACTGCTCTTATAGAAAAAGCTAAAGATCATAATATTTCACTTTGGATTAAGTTAATAAATAGATCATCGAGTCGGAAGGAAATTAAGGAAATAAATTTAAATGGTACAGTTATTACAGATAAAGGTTGTTTCATTAAAAGATACAGGAATTTACTTACATTTACAGCTTGAAAATTTGTCAGTTAGAAATAGAAGATGAAAATGAATGGAAAGGGGTATTAATTACTCCAGTTTTTAAAGGAGAGGACAATGATTTGATATGCAACTATGATCCAATTTCCATACTTCCTGTTCCGTCGAAGGTACTTGAGAAAAGTGTCGCTACATACAGTTGATCAATTAGAGACTAAGCAACATCTTCATTCAGTGTAGTTTAGTTTTAGACTAAAATGTTCTACAGAAACTTTAAATTTCTACTTTGTTGAAAATATTAAATAATTTTTAGATGATGACAGTGTTGTGGGGGCAACGTTTCTTGACCTAAAAAGGCATCTGACACTGTCAGCTATGACATACTTTTCTCTTAATAGTTTTTAATTTGATTTATCAAAACAAGCAGTTTATTGGATTGTGTAATATCGTCACACAGGATAGCAGTGTTTGAAGGTTGACCAAGAAATGTCATCTTTGTTGGGAAATAAAATGGATCTTCTCCAAGGATCACTCCTGCGTCCACTGGGGTGGGATTGTACTACTAGAAGGCAACATTGCAGACACTGAGGGGAGCTACAGGTATCTGGGAATCCCACAGGCAAATAGGAACACTAAAGCAGCCATTGGAAAAGCTGCATCCACCAAATACCTCCAGAGAATAAGGGAAGTCCTGAGGAGTCAGTTGCATGCAAAGAACAAAATCTGGGCAATTAACACCTACACCCTGCTTGTCATCAGGTACTCTGCTGGGATAATAAGCTTGCCAAAGGAGGTGATGAAAGCCACTTACATCAAGACGAGAAAGTCCTTATCATGTATGGAGGGTTTCACCCTAAATCCAGCATCATGAGACGACACTCACTAAGAACTAATGAGTGTCAGAACCACTGTCCAGGATCAGAAAAAAAAAAAAAAGTACATCAGGAAGTTTGCCACAGCTGACCGTGTGCTTAGTGAACATCACAGGCAGCATAAACCTGAAAAACAAGAGGAGCAAAGGGGGGAACCATCATGGAAGACAGGTCCCTGCACAGTATGTACCACCGTAAGATAGGAGGAATGGCTGAAATCCAGAATTCCTACCAGTGGCTGGACAAAGCTGGGCTGAAAGACAACACAGAGGCACTAATTATGGCAGCACAGGAACAAACTCTATAGCACAAGATGAACAGAGTCTGTGCTCTACCACATCGGCCAAGACCTCGGGTGCAAGGTGTGCAACAATGGCCCAGAGACAGTTCAGCACATAACAGCAGGGTGCAAGATGCTAGCAGGCAGGACATACATGGACCTCCATAACTGGAGGCTGGCATAATATACAGGAACATCTGTGCCAAGTATGGCCTGGAAATCCCAAGGTCAGAATGGGATATACCCCCTAGCGTTGTTGAGAATGACCGAGCTAAGATCCTGTGGAACTTCCAGTTACAGACAAAATGGTGATGGCTAACTAACTGGACATAGTAGCGGTGCACAAATAATTAGCCTTAGTGATAGACTCGAGTTCGAAGGATATGACCATGTGGATTTTCTTTTCTTTTTTTCCTTAATATTAAACACCTTCATTTAGAAATTGCATTTTGTCTTTATTTGTGTTAACTTTGTCTAATATTTAAATTTGTTTGATGATCTGAAACAATAATGTGTGACAAACATACAAAAAATAGGAAATTGGAAAGGGGGCAAACACATTTTTTCACACCACTGTAAATGTAAAATGCAGTTTAAAAAATGGTTCAATAGTGCTTTTAGTAATGGTAAAAAAAGAAAAAAGATAAATCTTGCATAAATATTTGTGCAATAGAACCTAAATTAAATCATAATACATGGAAGTACCAATTTCAATGCATGATCATTTATTTCTTTGTAACTTTCACAATGGCTAAAAATCCACTGAATATAACAACAGTGATTTTAGTCTTGAAGATGATGCTTAAGTGGTTATATTTGTACACAGATCAGTATGGGTTCTTGAGGGTGTGATCCATGATGGTCATCAGAGCCAGCCAAGTCTCCTGAGCGGTGGGGATGATCTCAGATGCAGGGAGGAGGAAGCCATAGCGGCCGGTGTCCCTCAGCTCAAAGGTGTACGAGTACTTGATTCCCTGGTTGTAAGCCCAGTCAATGCTCCCACCACTGGCTTGGTCTACAAACAAGCAGTTTTACCATAAGTACAAAACAGGGATTTTTTGATAGCTAAGTCACTAGTTTTCAATATCTAATAATTACTTTACAATTAATATCTTTTTGATTTTGATAGCAGTAGAACACAAGTAGTAGTAGTTTTGATTGTAAGTGTTTTCCTTTCACCAGTCATATTGTAAGACAAAAGTGAGCAAGAAAAAAACATAAATATTCAGTGTGGTCAAACATGTCTTGCTTTTAAGATGTTTTGCAGACACTTACAGATGGCGTTGATGATGCTGCCAAATTTGTAGGAAGTACCATACAGGGACGCCAGATCAGTGACAGCCTTTTGTGCTAGGTTATCCTATATCAAGAGACTTCCATCAAACCTCTTCAAATTAATGTTATACATGTTTACATTACAGACAAACACAAGGGCCAAGAGGTTAAATGGCTGGTACTAGACCCAGTTTGATCATGAAAACATTTTTAAGGTTTTCTTTTCTTTATTTTTTTTACCAGCTCAGTATAGTCCTTGATCGGAGTCCTGGTGTAGCCATAGGGAAACATGAGCAACTGAGAATAGGAGTGGATGGAGATGAAGGCCTTAATGTTGTGAGAGTTCACAAATCTCACAATGGAATTGACCTCAGACTCAGACTGAGCTATGGGTCCACGATAGGTCTGTGAACAGGGGTCGCCACTGGAACCAGGTCCTACGCATGATGATAAAACAGAAAAAAAAAAAACTATCTTAAAAACGTCTAAATTTGGGTCACATCCCAAGTTTAATGGGCTTTAAAACCTGGTATAGAATACTCTGCAAAAACACCAAAACTTAGACACATTTTCATCCATTAATAAATTCAGTGCCATTTTCATATTGTAAATTATTTTAAAAATATTTTTAAATAAAATACTAAAACAAAGCTGAATATATCAAAACCAATTGACTAACAAAATAAACAAATAAATAACTATTCCCCCGAAAAGAAAAACAATGACAATGTCATCTCACATATTTTTCCCCCAGTCATGAAGGAATTCAAATACATGCACTTCTTGACTCTTTTCCCTTTACTCTCTGGTCCAGCTCATCCCAAAAAGTTTCATATGGATTCACGTTAGGTGTTTTGTAAGGGCTAGCTCACATGATACAGTGCTGTTTCCTGCTGGTACTTTGGTCATAGAATGGACCGTTCAAAGTCTAAGTTTCCATTGGCCTAATTTTCTTTCTTGTGTTTTTAGCTTAAGCAGCACTTGGTTCCCTCAGCTAGGATTTGTTTGCGTGGCATGATTCACAAAAAGAAACTCTGGAAACTCCTTATGTGTGCTCTAATCTGAGCTGGTCTGGGCTTTTAATTGTAAAATTCTGGCTGATATTGCCAATGAACTTATCTTCTGCAACAGAGGTCAGCCTTATTCCTTTGCCTTTTCCACGGAACCCCTCTTCAGAGCCAGTTTCATCATAGCATTCAAATAAGTGATAGGGCTTTACTAATATATATATATATATATAAAGAAATTCTGATAAACAATATCTGAAAATCATGTCCTTAAGAAACAGGAAGAAATCAAGCAAAGACCTGACATAGGACATGAGAGATGCATTGGCCTTTCAGTTCGTAGTTCATTAAAACCTCAGCAAAAATGGTCAAATTGGAAAGGTATATTGAAAACCCATTGAGAAATAGAAGCAGGAACTATTCCTCAAGACTACTTAAAGAAATTACAAGAAACTTTGGCTAAGAAATGTCATACTGTGTTAAACAGTAATGGCAGTCATACCAAATATTAATCTTTAAGCTGTTTTTACCATATATACTGTATGTCCGCATAGTGTGTGTTCAATAAATCACTGCACCTATTTCCCACTTTCCTACAAAAATATGAAGAAATTAGTTGCACAGTACTGTAGTACATACTGAACTATATGTTGTCATTTGCTGCAAAGACATTGTTGTTAATCAAAATAAAGAAAAAATTATATGCATTGTCCAAACATTTACTAGTACTCTATCGTTTATGATACTTCATTATTTGTATAGTGTGTATTTGCTGATAATTTGTACAAAAAGACAAGAAAGACAAAACTAAGAAATACTTTTTAAAGTCACTTCCTCTTTGTCTGTGGGGTTTTATTAATGTATTGATTTATTTATTTCCATCTCGAGGCTGGAAAACAGATGATGTTACTAAAGTTCAAATTTTTTGAAGAACAATACTGAGGAAGTCAGGAATGCCTCGCTCTGAAATTTATTCACAGTAAAAGTAAAACTGCAATAACCTGTAACATGAAAACATGAATACATGCATATTTAGATAAAAGATATACCTCCAAAACCAGCTCTCCAGTTCCTGTTGGGATCAACACCAACACAAAGGGACCCGGGATTAGGTTTTCTGGTCTTACGCCACATACGGGACTGGAAACATCAAAGCATCCCAATATGTGTGGGTTATTAGTTTAATTGTTAGGTATATTTACGTTAAGCTTTGATTTAACTTTAAATAAACACATCCATTATCCATTCAGTCATCAACTAATATGGTGCAGTGGTTAAGGCTGTTGCCTCACACACTCTAAAAAGTAATTCAGAGGCTTAGTAAATATCACTATAAATATAAGTTAGATGAGCCTGATAAAATCTATGAATATCCTTTTAGTAATTATTTGAGTTTGATAAGTTGAAATAAATGTCTAAAATGTTAACTTATATGTTTGTGTTAAATTAAGGTATTCATTTACATTTATCTCAGACAAAAATTCAGTATGTGGTTCACAGAATACCTTCTTTGCATGTACTTAATATTTTTGTTTAAAATTGAATCAAAATATTTGAGAAATAGGTAACTATACTCATCAGTATCTTGTACCAAAATCATTAATTATTCAAATCAATATTATTTATTGTCAGCAACTACAACTTAAAAGTGTAAGTAAAACACAATAACGTAGAGTAATTGAGTACCATGAGCCTTTTTCATTGTTTTGTTCATTTTGTTTTTTAAATACTCTGAGCTTTTGTGTTTGCTCTCCTGGTTTGCCATTTATCCTTCAAGTATGTAAAGTTTTGAGCTAAAGGGGAAAAGGCTCTTGTCTTTTTAGTGCTTGTTTATTTCGAGTTATTGCCATGTTT